CCCCGTCCTTCCGGCCCCGCAACGGGTCGCCTGCAGCGCTTGCGCCCTTTAAGCAACACACTGTGGTCGGTTCCCCGGGTCTGGTAAATTGTTTTCCGTTTCTCTTTCCCGGTTGTTAATGTCACAAAATCCCAACTTCACTTCTACCTTCCACACCTAGCGATAAAACCCATCACCATGAGTGGACATTAAAAAAAAAAAAGTCGTTGCCGTGGAAGTTGATTCTGACGCGTAGCGATCCTATAGGCCAGAGTAGAACTGCTCCGTAGGGTTTCCAAGGAGCGGCTGGTAGATTTGAACTGTTGACCTATTTGGTTAGCAGCCTGGGTTAACCACTTAGTCACCAGGGCTCCTGAATGGACATAGTGGGGCAGTTTTTAGAGTGTGCTACTTGCAGACTATAGCCCACTTTCTTCGGTTTGCTTTTGGAACGACAGACATCACTTCTTAGAGCCTCTTCGTGTGGCTCCGCCCATTGCCCCGGAAGTACTCACAGCGGGTGGCGGTTTCTGTGCCTGTTCTTGAGCTGCTCTTCCTTTTTGTCCGACATCTTAGCAAGGCTGCAGTTGTAGTAGCTGCTCTCTGAGCTTCGTGATGGTAAGCTTCAGGGATTGACGGGCATTGGGGCCCTGAAAGCCGGAGCAGAGCTCCGGCTTAGTTGAGGCAACATCGGTCGCGGGAGGGCTCCGTGAACTGCCAGATTGGCTCTAAGGGCAGGCGGCGGTATTGCTTCACCCATGTGCTGCGGTGGTGGAGTTTGGGCGGGGTTGGGGGACGCAGTAGTAGAGGGGAACATAGGGGCGCCTTATGACGGGGCTGCGCTCCCGCTCTCCTTCTACAGCCGCCCAAGGACGACAAGAAGAAGAAAGACGCCGGAAAGTCGGCCAAGAAAGATAAAGACCCAGTGAACAAATCTGGGGGCAAGGCCAAAAAGAAGGTGGGAGTGAGGGAGACCGGGGACGCCCGCCTCATAGCTTTGTAATGTAGTGTGATATTAAGTGGCTTTTAAGATTGTGGGGTCTAGAGTCGGTTATTTAGGATTTTAGATTCCATCACTATTAATTCACTCTTAAGTCTGTTGCCTCATTTAAAGGATGAGGTGATACGTACTGCCTAAGAGCGTAAAAATTAAGTGAACAAAGCGTTTGCTCCAGTATCTGGCGCTTGATGTTAGTTTGATTGGCCTCATGGGGCTCAGCCCATCTCCCAAAGCTTCAAAGATAATGTCGTTGGTTTTTTTTCAATCAGTAATGTGTTTTTGATACTATTAACGATAACTAAGATCTTTTTTATTTTGTATACTGGCTTTCTGATTATTTGAGTTGGGAGGGGGTGTGCTTGGTATTTGCAGGCCAGGGTGCAGGCCCACTCTCACTGTAGCCCCACAGTCGTGGAGATTTCTCTGACACTTTTTGCTTGGGAGGGAAGTGTGCTTGTACTAGAGAATGGACTTTTTTCCCCCTTTTGTTTTTATGAGCAGAAGTGGTCCAAAGGCAAAGTTCGGGACAAGCTCAATAACCTGGTCTTGTTTGACAAAGCCACATATGACAAACTCTGTAAGGAAGTTCCCAACTATAAGCTTATAACTCCAGCTGTTGTCTCTGAGAGACTGAAGATTCGAGGTTCCCTGGCCAGGGCAGCCCTTCAGGAGCTGCTTAGTAAAGGTGAGGGGCATGTTGTACTGGTATGCTTTTGCGGATTAAATCATCCTAACTATGTTAACCATCTTGTGTTTTTACCGAAAAAGCAGTTGGGAATATCTAAAAATGGGAGTAGCCAAAACCTCTGGCTGTTAGTAATATAATTCCAATCTTATGTTTTCAAATGGATAAGATAAATATATAGAATCACAGAGGAAACCTGATTGAAATATAGTTAGAAAAATAACAAAAACCTTTGTGACAAAATTTTTATGTGCTAAAGTTTAAAAATAGATTGGTGGGTCTAATTACCATAATTTTTCATTAGTGATGAAATATTTAAGCTATCTGTAGCAGCTAATATGAAATACTGATTTTTAAGTTAAAGTTCTATGAGGGTGACTATCCTAAGAGTAGAAAATGGGCCCTTTGTAGTTTCTGGCAACTAAGTATTTCACAGCACGTACTATGTGAGACCTTATCCTTTCTTCCCTAGGGCTTATCAAGCTGGTTTCAAAACACAGAGCTCAAGTGATTTACACCAGAAACACCAAGGGTGGAGATGCCCCAGCTGCTGGTGAAGATGCTTGAACAGGTGAGCAGGAATCCCAGGAGCTCACAGTGTGGGAAGCATGTGTACCCTTTACAAGGCACTATGGTTCTGATTCTTTTTTAATTTTTTTACAGGTCCAACCAACTGTATGTACATTTTGAAAAATAAAACTTTATTAAATCAAAAGAATGGGTATGTCTTTCTCAGAAAGGTAATTACAAAGAATTTGGTGGAAGGAGTAATAGTGTACTGAAGTAGGCGTTTGTTGGCTTGGCTTTAAGCTTAGGATAGTTGGAAGAGTATCAGGAAGGCATCAGGTTTTTCCTTTCCGTGATTGCTGTTTGTTCCTTGCTTCTGTTTTGAATTGATGCCTGAAAGGAAATGAGGCATCAGCAGGATGAAGGGAGGGATTTCCAAAGGGGTAGTGGGCTGTGGTCCTGGGACTGGGTTTATACCTGGACTGCCAGCGGCGTCCGTTGTTCCAGACCCGGCCAAATGAGGGCAGCCAGCATGCATTGGTGTTGGAGCTATGATCAAAGTTGGCCCCAACTCGGTCTGGGGGAAGTTTCTTCAATTTCTCCTTTTCCTCTACAGTGATAAGGAAACAGTTGTATTTGAGTGGGTAAATTTAAGAACCCGCTGCCCTTCCTGAATTAGTTTACTTACTTTCTTTAAGAAATTCTTCATAGGAGGGTCCTATTTGTTGGCTCCCAGGACTGTTTTCCTCATCTTGGACCATCCAGGGAGGTGTGGCACCTGGAAAGGGAAGACCGAATAGACAGAAATTAAGGCACTTTTTTTTTTTTTTTTTTAAATTTTCAGGCTATTGTAAAACATGCCCTAGCTGTAAGCTCACCTCACCTAATTGAGAACTAGTAAAATTCAAAGGCAAAACCCAGGAATTCTGGAGCTTGAGAAGTTGAGAAACCTAGGCTAATTTAAAGCAATGTACCTGACATGTCATGTAGTCTAATGTTTTAAAATAGCTTTATTTTGACAAAGCACATATTTAAAGTGTACAATCTGGTAGGTAAACATCTATGAAGCCATCACCACAATCAAGATACTTAACATCACTCCCAAGTATCCTTGTGCCCCATTGAAATCCTTTATTCCTGTCACCCCTTGAACCCTTGCCCCCACCCTAAGGCAACCGCTTTCTGTCAATATATGTTAGTTTGCATTTTATATAAACGGAATAATATGGTATGTACTTTTTGTGGGGGGGGGTCCTCACTTTTAGCTGGATATTTTGAGACTCATCTATGTTGAATGTATCATTAGTTCATTCTTTTCATTGTTGACTACTGTTCCATTGTTCATAAATAAAGCTGCTCTGAAGATCTGTGTACAAGTCTTTGTATAGTCATACTGTCTTTTCTCTTGGGTAAATAACTAGGAATGAAGTGGCTGGATCCATATACTGGGTGCATATTTAACTTAGTAAACTGCTGAACTATTTTCCCAAGTGGTTGTACCATTTTACATTCCCATCAGCAGTGTACAAAAGTTCCAGTTCCTCTACATTGTTGCTAAAGACTTGGTATGCTCAGTTTGAAAAATTTTAGTCATTCTAATAAGTATGTAGTGGTATCTCACAGGTTTTAATTTGCATTTTCTCAGTGACTAATGATGAACATCTTTTCGTGTGCTTTTATTGGGTTTTCTTACTGAATTTTGAGAGTTCTTTATATGTTCTGGATACATGCTCTAAAAGTTAATTGCCACTTACATTTTCAGAAATGGGCCTTACCTGAGTGGATGTTGCCAACTCCTGGTATATCCTGTAATTGGAAATAGGGGAAAAAAATCATAGATACGAAAGCCAAGAGAGGATACTCTTAGCTAGAGAAAGCAAACTTTTCATTCAAGGAGGTGGATACACACTACCACAAATGTCACTTCTTTACTCTGGTTGAAAGGTCACAATAGATAAATACGGTCTTGTCTTTAAGAGACTCAAGTTCTTAATAGTGGAGCAGTCCAAAAAAGTCACACTACATGCCAGGTGAACAGAACCCTGCCCTCACAGAGCATATGGTGGGGGGAAAGAAGTGTAAATTATACCAATAACTTTTGCAGCTTTACAAGGTGCTGTGTCCAGTTATAGGGAGCCCTGGTGGTGCAGTGGTTAAGTGCCCGGCTGCTAACTGAAGGGTTGGTGGTTTGAACCCACCAGCTGCTCCGTGGGAGAAAGATGTGCCAGTCTGCTTCTGTAAAGATTACAGCTTTGGAATCCCTGTGGGGCAGTTCTTCTCTGTCCTATAGGGTTGCTATGAACTGGAATTGACTTGATGGCAATTTTTTTTTTTTAATTGCCATTTATAATAAAGATGACCTGTTCAGATAAGCCTTTTGTGATAAAGGGGGAGTGGAGCTGACAGCTGAGGGAGTTAAGAGTTCACTAGGTGATGCAGGAGAAAAGCATATTTAAGGCAATGGCAACTACATGTGCAAAAGCAGGGAGAAGCACAATCACTGTGGCTGATAGGAGATGGCAGGTGATGTGATTGGTGGGGGCGGGGCAGGGCAAGAGCATCCTAAGGCTGAATAGAGACAGACTTGAGGTTATTACAGAGGTAAAATTGATAGAATCACTGACAGGTTGTGGAAGATGAAAGATGAGAGGAATAAGGATCTCCATCTATAGTGACTGGAAATACAGGAGTGGTGGAGGTTGGTTTCAGATGCCTATAGGATATCTAAGTATCAATGTTCTGTCTCCAGCTAGAACTGTAGGTTCTGCAGAGCGCAGGATCTAGATGTGGATGAGATCACCAGGGAGGATGAAAGAAGAGGTCTGAGAACACAATACTAGGGAGCAATGCAGCAAGAGGAAAAAGCCTGCAGAGGAGACAGGAGTGGCCTGGGAAGTAGGTGGAAAACCAGTAGGGGGTGTCCTGGGAACTCGGGGCATTGGCCCTCGCCTGGCTTGCTTATCCATTGTACCTGATGGTCAATGAATGTCAGGGGTTGTCCTGTCTCCATCCAGTCAAGCTCTGGGGCTGTTGGCAGGTCCAAGTCTGAGGGCTGCTGTGAGCTGGAAGATACTCTGAAAAAGATAAAAGGGAGCCAGGCTGGCAGATGAGATCCTTGGGCTAGAGTAAAGAAAGCTCACCAGTGCCATGAGGAGAGACAGAGGAGATATGTTCTTGTTTTCCACCTGAGAGATCAGAGAAAGCTCTAACAGTGATACATCAATCAAACTCCTGACAAGAGATTCCCTAACAGTCTTACCTGTTTCTCTGTTTCCAGCTTCCAGGTGTCGAAGAGCCCTCTTCTGGGTCTTGCACTGCCTGAGGCTGAGTTTGATTCAGGAAAAATAAATGTGTCTAGGATTCTTAAGTGCCTGCCTAGACCATGCCCCACCCTGCAGACCCCAGTATCATAAGGAAACAAATTGGCCATATAGATGGTGCTGCCCACCTTGCAAACTCTTCCCTCCCTTTCTCCCAGCCCTGCCCATGTCTTCTCCACTGACAAGGCCTGCCCCTGGTGGGCACGTAAGGGATTTTTTGTATTTCAAGCAGATGAGGAGGGGAGTCCACGAGTTCTCTTAGAAGAGCTGGTAGGTGAGATGCTGGACCTGGGTGAGCCAGGGACCAGTGGATTTGGATACTGCTCTGGATCCTCCGAGGGAAACCAACCTCTAAGACAGACCGAACCATCTCCTGCCGGCTATACTCCACCTCCCGGATCTGAGCTGCCATCTGTGGGAGAGAGGCTGCTTAGATGGGGCACAGGCTTATGGGGGCTGGGTCCTTCACAGGCCTATATTTAACTTACCTCTTTAATTACTTCATCCTCTTTTTCCTCATAGGAATCCAAACCTCGCACCATGGATTTCTTGAATCTAAAAAGAAAAGGGAACAAGTCAGCCCCGAGTCTCAGCCCCTGCCAGTGGTCAAACTCTGCCAGTTGTGAAAAATAAAGGTCTTCTTACTAGTAGATATATATTTTTTAATTTTGAGAAATTTCAAACTCGCAGAAACAAAAGACTAGTACAGCGAACACCCATGTACCTCTCACCCAGGTTCACTGTCAACAGTTTGTTACACTGGTTCCACTTCTCTCTTTTGTATATAGATAGATAGATACAGATAAATGCACATACATTTCCTTTTTGCCAAATCAAAAACAGGTTATAACCCTAAATATGTCAGCACGCATCTCCGAAGAACAGGAACATGCTATAAAATCACAAAACCGTTACCACACTAGAGAAAATCAGTTATTCAATGACATCAAACATAACGTATACTCAAATTTCCCCAACTGTCAACTGTCTCAAAACTGTGCTTTATACCTTCTCTGCCCCTCACCCCCACCACCAATCTCAAAGTCCAGTGAAAGTTCACATATGGAATTTGGCTGTTAATGTCTCTCTAGTCTTCCCCCAGTCTAAAACAGTCCTGTTGCTTCCCTCTGTCTTTATTACTTTGAATCCTCTGAAGAGCCCAGGCCAGATCATGCATATCCTCACAAATAGCGAATTCATCAGTTTCCTTACAATGAGACTGAGGTTAAACATTGCTGGCAAGAGTATCACATTGATGATATTCCCGTTGTATTACATTAGGAGGCATATAAATGTCAAGACCGATGCTATTACCAATGGCAAGCTTGACCATTTAGACCTCTCCATTTTAAAGGCACATTTTTTTCCTTTGAAAACAATAATTTGTGCTGTACAACTTTGAGACTGCATGAATATTCTGTTTTCTTACAAGCTTTCACCCAATGGTTTTAGCATCCACTGATAATCCTTGCCTGAATCAGGCATTATGCTGGAGGTTCCAAAATGGTGATTTTTAATTCTACCATTCCTTGTTCATTTATTTGCTGGCATTTTTTTGAAAAAAGAAAACGTTTCCTTTTTCTTTCTCTCTTTTTAAAGACATCATTATGAAGTTATAGGTTTTTTTAATTCAATATGTTATAATTAGGGAGACCACACAGCCCAGTTTGCACAGAACAGACTCAGTTTATGTCAGCTGTCCTGGCGTAATCATCATTAGCCCCCCATAAGTCTCAAAAGTATCATCCAGGTTTGGATTAAAAAAAAAAAAATATATATATATATATATATGGTGATCCTATCCTAATGATGATGTTATAATTCATTACTGTCATGCTTTTTGAAGTTCAAATTGTCCAAGGGGCTAGTGAGAGCCCCTTCAAGCCAGCTCCTGGGTCCTCTGGACATGACTCCATTAATCTTTCAGCATTTCCTTGATTTCTAGCACAATATGTTCCAGGCTCACTTTGTACTTTCTCTGCTCCAAACCTGAAATCATTCATTTCTCCAGTGAGCCCTGGTTCCTTTTATAGAAAACAGTATTTAGAAACAGAAGTCTGAGTGCAAGCAAAGATCTTATTGGTACTGAGGGTTCACTGGTGGGTTCAAACCACCAACCTTTCGGTAGTAGCTGAGCACTTAACCACTGCACTACCAGGGCTCCATGTGTGTATATATATTCTTATTTTCTCTCTTACTCAAAAGGTAGCATAATATATATGTTCTTTTGCACCTTGCTTTTTCATATAACAAAATATTCTGGAAATCATATCAGTTCAGAGTTCATCCTTGTAATTCTTAATTAAAACATCTGCTCAACTATCATTTATTTACAAAACTGTATGGATCTGGGTCAAGATGTGAGGAGTGCTTTTTGTCCTCAGTTTCCCATCTCCTCCCAGCCTGAACCACAGATGTGAACACAGGAAGTGGAATTCAGGCGTTTCTTATCTTCCGCTCATTATTCTCCACAATGGCTGACAGGAATAATGGATACCATGAGTTTTTCTGTGACTTCTTGGCTCTGAGATTCCCCTTGTGTTCCACACCCTATAATTTCAATATAAAACCAAAAACCAAACCTGTTGCTGTCAAGTTAATTCCGACTCATAGCGACCTGACAGGACAGAGTAGAATTGCCCCACAGGGTTTCCAGGGTGCGACTGGTGGATTTGAACTGCCAACCTTTTGGTTAGCAGTCATATCTCTTAACCACTGTACCACCAGGGTAATCCCAATTAAACGTGACAGTGAGGCTGTCGTGTGTCCTCTTCCGGTGGCTCTGCCTCTTTGCTCACCAGCTTCCTGCATGTCAGAGTCCAGCTAAAATAGCATCTAGAACGATTAAAAGTGGGCACTGGATGAACACTAGCTCTTGCCCACTAAAAACAGGGCCGTAGTATTCTCTGTACCACACATTTAAGTAGTTGATTACAGCCACATTTTCATCTTTTTATATACTGTTCTCTATTTGTTAAATGCACTGTAAATTCCATTTCCCAACTAGATTATAAACCTTCCATGTCATACTTCTTTCGTGTCCAAGTAGCGCTAGAATTACAAGTGCTATGAAGACACAACAGGCTTTGCAATTAATAGAAGAAGGTCCCATAGCTGACATAGATCCAGAGAACTCACCGGGCTACTTCAGCTCTCCTAACTAGTGACTTACCTTGCATAATCCTGGGGAGAGATCAGAAACTTGTCTTTCATCCGGACCTCAGCCTTGTTCTCCCACCAGAATTTGTTGGTTGCTTTCTTGTGCTCTGGGCTGAGAATGGAGAGGATGAGTAATCTCAGCTATAGAAAATTACTCAGATACCTAAGCATTAGATAAGTAATGCACTCTGACATCTGGGTTTCTACTGCTGCCTCTGGGCAAGGCTGACAGAGGAATACTGTTACCAGTCCCTTCAAGATCTCCAGTCTCCCTTATTCCAGTAAAAATGTAAGAATCTGAGGGGGTAATGGGCAGTGATCTTGAGTCAGCTGATGTCTGGCTGGCTTTCCCACTAGACTGCCAATACCACTGGGACCATTGCAGCCATAAAACCCCTCCTACCAAGGTTGACAATATATATGTTGTTGTTGTTAGGTGCCATTGAGTTGGTTCCAACTCATAGTGACCCTATGTACAACAGAACAAAACACTGCCCGGTCCTGCACCATCTTCACAATTGTTGCTATGTTTGAACCCATTGTTGCAGCCACTATATCAATTCATCTCATTGAGGGTCTTCCTCTTTTTCACTGACCCTCTACTTTACCAAGCATGATGTCCTTCTCCAGGGACTGATCCCTCCTGATAACATGTCCAAAGTGCATAAGGTGAAGTCTCACCATCCTCTCTTCCAAGGAGCATTCTGGCTATACTTCCTCCAAAACAGATTTGTATGTTCTTCTGGCAGTCCATGGTATATTCAGTATTCTTCACTAACACCATAATTCAAAGGCATTGATTTTTCTTTAAAGTCTTAAAAAGCAAAGATGTCACTTTGAGGATTAAGGTGTGCCTGACCTAAAGCATGGTATTTTCAGTCACCTCATATGCATGTGAAAGCTGGACAATGAGTAAGGAAGACTGAAGAACTGATGCATTTGAATTATGTTGGTGAAGAATACTGAATATACCATGGACTTCCAGAAAAATAAACAGATGTTTTGGAAGAAGGACAGCCAGAATGCTTCTTAGAAGGGAGGATGGACATGTTACAGGAGGGACCAGTCCTTGGAGAAGGACATCATGCTTGGTAAGGTAGAGGGTCAGCAAAAAAGAGGAAGACCCTAAAGGAGTTGGACTGACACAGTGGCTGCAGCAATGGGCTCAAACACAGCAATGACTGCGAGGATGGTGCAGGGCTTGGCAGTGTTTTGTTCTGTAGTAAATAAGGTCGCTATGAGTCGCAAGCAACTCCACCGGCACCTAACACCAATTCTTCCGTCTTCCTTATTCATTGTCCAGCTTCTGCACACATACGAGGCGATTGAAAATACCATGTCTTGGGTCAGGTGCACCTTAGTTCTCAAAGTGACCTTTTTTAAACAACAAAACAAAACATAAAAACACTTTAAAGAGGTCTTTTTGCAGCAGACTCAATCCATCCACTCTGACTAAATCACAAAAGCATCCATCCTCGCACCTACCCTAAACCCTCCCATGTATGTAAGGGAGTGGGCTGGATGAGGCTCCTGGCCCGGACCTCACCTGGCCAGGTGCTCCAGCAGCCCCCCATGCAGCACCGTCAGGTTTCCGTGGCTCAGGTGTTTCCGCACCTCACAGCTGCAGCACAGACACCAGCAGCGTCGATCGTGCTCCGGCACGTAGCGCTCCACCTGCGCGGCGCGGACCGCCTTCCGCGCTGCCTCCACCTGCAGCGGAGAGAGTTGAAAGGGGAGATGCCAAGCAGAACCCCCTCGGGCCCTAACTGTACAGCCCTGCATCCCCGCCCCCAGACCGTCCCAGCCCCCTCCAACCTCCCGTCAGTACCTGGGGCAGGAGCCGCTCCAAAGCCACCTTCAGCTGTCGCTGGTGCTTGCGACTGTAGACGTGTCCGCGACCACAAAAGAAAGTCTGGCGGCACAAAGGGCAGTGATGTGCCGGCGCCATGGGCCCAACACTAGGTATCTCCGAGACTTCCTTCCGATCACTCACCATCCGATGACCTCTGACCCTCAGGGGCGGGGCTAACCCGGCGGCTCCCGCGGCCCCTAGCGGCCGGGAGGCACCACTGCAAACCCTTCTGCGGCTGCGCGGATCTTCCTCCTGGCTCCCCCTCTAGGTTCAAACTCAGCAGTCGTCAATATCCTCAAATGCAGTCTAGCCCGTAAACGAGGTCAGCAGTACTATGCAGTTGCGCAGAAAAGTTCGCACGCAGCTAAGTTACGTGAAAACGTAAACTTAGATAAGGTAACAAATCATAGCTAACATTTATAGGCTGCTTACTGTGTGTGGTGGTGCAAACGGTTTCAGTGTTTGGCTGCTAACTGAACAATTGCCCAGAGGCACCTCGGAAGAAAGGCCTGGTGATCTAGTCTGAAAAATCAGCCATTGAAAACCCTATGGAACACAGTTGTACTCTGACACACATGGGGTCGCCATGAGTCAGAATCAACTGGATGGCAACTGGTTTGGTTTTTCTTTCCGGTTTGTTTCTGTTTTTTTAAAAACTGTGCGTCCAGGTGGGGGCAGTGGTGGTTTAGTGTTAAAATTCTCAACCCCGTTGGATTTCCAGCCAAAGCACCACATATGTAGCCACCACCTGCCTATTGGTGGAGGCTTGCGTGTGGCTGTGATGCTGAACAGGTTTCAGCGGAGCTTGCAGACTAAGGTGGCGCAGGACCCAGCAGTGTTTTGTTCTGTTGTGCATGTGCTGGCCATGAGTTGGGGTGCTGACTAGACAGCAGCTAACAACAACTGTGTGTGCAGAGCTTTACATTAATGACCTCACTTAATCCTCCCAATAACCCTATGTGGTGTACCAGTATCATCATTTTACGACTGGGAAAACTGAAGCACGGGGAGGTAACTTCGGAAGGTTGCACAGGTATTAAGTAGTGGAGGCAGCCTCTCTGGCTCCCATTCTCGTAATTTAAATACAGCAGGCTGGAGCCCTGGTGGCGCAGTGGTTAAGCCTTCAGCTGCTAACCAAAAAGGTCAGCAATTCGAATCTACCAGCAGCTCCTCGGAAACCCTATGGGGCAGTTCTGCTCTGTCCTGTAGGGTCGCTATGAATCGGAATCAACTCAATGCAATGGATACGGGTAGGGGAACACATGCTGGAGGGGACTATAACTTAATACCTAAACACAGTCATTCCCCCACAGGCGTGTTCTGAACTTTGTTCCAGTAAAGGGAAAGCTGTAAAGGGTGCAGGATTATTGCTGAGGGTTAGCAGACATTTTTAATCTAAATGCTAATCTAGTGGAATTTTCATTCTTTGCAAATCACTTGTCCCAGAATCAGCAGCCTGTCTTTCCTGCTCCCCTAAGCCTTAGGGCCTAAGATGAATTGCTCCCTCACAGGGCTAAAATCCCCAGGCTATGATCTTCTCCACCCTCTTACAGAATGAGCCACAGAGCTGGCTCAGAGTCCCAAACTTCCCTTTGATTTTATTACCAGTTCTGGTGCATTAACCTGGAGGGACTACAAGGTGCATAGGTCTGTACATGGTCAACTCTACACAATCCAGGTGCAGAAAGTGGCCAGACACTCATTTCTGGTCTTGACTTTCTATTGGAGATGGGCTCTAGGCTCTAGCTTCTGCAGACTGTGATCCCTTTTGATGACCCGCACAACACCCAACTCCTTGACCTTCCATCATTCCCCTGGCAGGGTGAACCCTGCACCTGGTCCACCCAAAATTGCTCCTTCTCTGAATCCAAACTCTGAAGTTCTGCTCTGACTACCATCTCCCATCCTCCCTTTGCCCTTATCCTCAATCTCATCTTTAACTGCAGGGAAACCTCCATTCCTAAAGTTGACTCCTTCTCTTCTCATCCTTCCACTCAGAATACACTCGGAGTCAGGTGCTCTGCTCTAGGCCAGTGATTTTCAAAGTGAGGTCCCCAGGCCGGCAGCAGCAGCATCTGGGAGTTTGTTAGAAATAAAAAAAAAAAAAAAAAAAAATTTTATTGTGCTTTGTATGAAGGTTTACAGAGCAAATTAGCTATAGTTTTGTGACTTTGGTTGCCAACCCTGCAACCTGTCAACACTGTCCCCTTCTGGACCTTGGGTTCCCCATTTCCATTTGTCCAGCTTTCCTATCCCCTCCTGCCTTCCTGTCCTTGCCCCTGGGCTGGTGTGCCCATTTAGTCTCTTATACATGGTTGAGCTACGTGTATTACTGTTTGTTTTATGGGCCTGACTAATCTTTGGCTGAAGGGTGAACCTCAGGAGTGACCTCACTACTGAGTTAAAAGGTGTCTGGGGGCCGTTGTCTCGGGGTTTCTCCAGCCTTTGTCAGACCAGGAAGTCTGGTCCTTTTTTGTGAATTTGAATTTTGTTCTACCAAAAGTACAAATTTTGGGGCCCCACCCCAGACCTACTGAATCAGAAACTCTGGGTTTAGGGCCCAGCAATCTGTGTTTTAACAAGCCCTCAAGGTGATTCTGATGCTCTCTTGAGTTTGAGAACCATTGATCTAGGTCTTAGGTCCTCTTGGCTTCACTTTACCCACTAGATCTCAGGAATGTTTCAAGCACTCTCTCAAGGCAACCTCTTACTTCACTTGACCTTCCAAGACCTCTCACTCTTTCAAACTCCAACCCTGGATCAACCCAGCCATCTGTTTTCCTCATTTGTTCCAAAGTTGGGCAGGCTAGTCTACGCTATCTGCTTCAACTTCTACTCAATTCTTAACCCTCTGTAATTTTACTTTTGAAATAGTTTCCCTAAAGTTCTCCACTGCCAAGTATTCAGCTGCCATCTGAACTCGGCTTGTGTGAAATGGAATTCGGCATCTTCCCCTTCAGGACATCCTGTTTTCATCCTCCTAGCGAATGGTACATCGAGGCTAGAGGCCTGGAGGATTTGGGTGAGTTATCCTTGACACTCCCTTCTACTCAGTCCCCATATCCACCCTGCACAAGTTGTCTTATCCATTGGATCTCTGAGATGTTTGAAGTCTGTCCTTCACGTTTCATACTCATAAAAGAAAAAAAAAAAACAGTTGCTATCGAGTTGATTCTGACTCATGACAACCTGGGTGGTACAGTTAATGCACTGGGCTGCTAACCAAAATGTTGAAGGTTCAAGTCTACCCTGAGGTGCCTGAGAAGAAAGGCCTGGTGATCTACTTCCGAAAAACCAGCCATTGAAAACCCTATAGAGCACAGTTCTACTCTAACACACACAGGGTCACCAGACTTATAAAGCATATCTTATTTCATTCCCCTTCCTTCCTTGCTTGGCTTCATGTAAAAACTTTCTAATTGGTTTCCAAGTGTCTAGTCTACTACTCTAGCTCCATTTATCTTCCAGCTTGTGGTCTTAAGAAAGCCTCTAAAATAACTTTCCCGATTAATTTAATGCCTCTCAGTTGCCTTCAGGAAAATCTAAACTTCTCAGCAGGTTATTTAAAGCCTTTTACATACACATAGAAACGGTTGAATGGGTGTATATTCTGCTGTATTTTCACCCAAAATAAAATATTTTTAAAAAGCCTTTTACAATATGATTCCCAACTTTCTCTTCAGCCTTATCTTCCACCACTCCCTTCCCCTTTCCGTGACCTCCTCCCAACCCCCAGGCAATATTCCAGACCTCCATCTGCTCCAGTACACCTTAGCATCTCTAGCCCTTACTTCCTCCTGCCAGGAATTTCCTTCCTTCTTTCCAGCTCTACCTGGCTTATCTGAAATATGAATCTTTCTGTGTCAAAACTAGAATGTAATTTCCATGAGATTGGTGACTTTGGCACATGGTAAGCTCATTTGGCACATTTATTGAAGGAATGAAATGTCATCCCTTTTGAAGTCTTCTTCCAGAGTTGTCCCTGCAGAATTAATTTCTCTATGCCGAGGTCCTTTGCCCATCCTGCTATCATTTTTGTTTAGTAGTCAGTTCAGTTGAAAACCCAATAGTTGAAAAGCCCCTCAAGTGCAGGGACTATGTCTTGTTCACGTCTGCCTCCCTAAAAGTAGCATATGGTGGTCCTTTCTGCCTGTTTGTTAAATTAAGATCATCAAAACACAGGCACCCTCAGTTTAAGATGCCCTTACAGGTGGGAGGCTGCAGAGGGCCTAGAAGCCTATAGCTAACAGTCTGCTAGTTAATAGTATCAAGCTACAAAACAGGCTAATGGGTAGCTTTAAAAAAAACAAAAAAAACAAACCCGATGTTTTTGACTTGATTCTGACTCATAGTGACCCTATTGGACAGAGTAGAACTGCCCCATAGGGTTTCCAAGGAGCTGCTGGTGGATTCGAACCGCCGCCGTTTTGGTTAGCAGCTGGGCTCTTAACCACTGCACCACCAGGGCTCCAATGGGTAGCTTTACTTATTTAAAAAAATTTTAAATAATTTCTTGTTCAAAATAAAACTAAACAGAGGCTATAAGTCCAAAGTGATTGTCCCCATTTCTCTTGCCCCCCCGTCCCCAAACATGACCATCGTTAACTGATATCTATATTATTCAAGACATTTTCTATGTTTAGACAACATATTTATATATGTGAATATATTTTTGTCACATTTGGAATCATA